GCTGGCCCTGTCCTCTATCTCACAGATGAGGGAACCGACCGAGAGGGGATATATGCTAGGCTAGATAATGGTCACATGCTGGTCCCCAGAACCCGTGACTGTAACCCATATGGCACAGGGGTCTCTGCAGACACGACTGAAGTCAGACCTTCCGAGGCGGACATTACCGATTACCTTGGCAGGCCTTAGGTTGAAGCACAGGATCCTATAAGACATATGGTGAGAAGATCCCAGAAGAAAGTAGAGGTGACCGTGAAGCAGAGGCTGGAGTGAGGGAGAAAAGGGCCACAAAGCCAGAGAACAAGCTGGCATATGGAAGCTCGGAAGGCCAGGGAGCAGATTCTTCTCTGCAGCCTCCAGGAGGGACACCGCTCTGCCCTGCGGGACTGGAAGACGGTAAATGAGGCTAGTCCTGAGCCACTAAGTTTGTGCTAACTTGTCACAGCAGTAAGAAGACACTACTCAGAAGGCAACACCCACGATGCAGGGCCATGGGGCCTAACCAGGCTCTGAGAGCTGTGGTGGCTTTAGCCTAAGGGCCAAGGTGGCCTGAGGGCAGGGGAAAGGCTCTGAAGGACTCTGAGCCCCGGGGCCACCCTTCCCCCAGCCGAGCTGACCTTGGCCTTGCTGCCCTTGTTTGCTAGGACGCCCACCTCCAACCCCTGTCCCCTGGCCTACGTGACCCAGCGACTCTCCCTGCTGCTGCTCAGGGGCCGTGGTACCAGTTTCTTCTCTATGAAGCACTCATTTAAAAAAATGTGGTGGTGCGTAGGCAGGCAGCAGCACAGGGTGAGGGCTGTGGGGAAATTTCTGGGAACGAGGAAGGTCGTGACCCTACCTCCAGGTGCTCGGGGAAACAGTCACGTATGCAGGCATCGTCAGGAGCCTGAAAGCAGCACCAGGTGTGAGAGAAGGGGAAGCAGGATGAGCTGTACAGAGCCCCAGCTCCTAAGAGGAGCCAAGCTTTGCCTATGTCATTTCCTTAACCCTCCAGCATGCGGAGCCTTTAGGGACGGTGGGGGAGGGGGAGAGCGTGCTCACAGGATGCCTCCCTTGGTCCAGGCCCTGCTCTAGGCGTTCTAGCTACATCGATCTACTTAGTTCTCACCACTACCCTATGCGCAGGTCCTGCCAGCACCCCCATCAGAGATGACGAGATTTGCCAAGGGACACAGAAACGGTGGTGTTGGAATACGAACCAGCAGGCTGGCCCTGACCCACCTTGCAGAAGGTACTTGAGGCCGCTGCCTGTACCCCTCACTAGGATGTGGGCTGTGGGCTCAGGACAGAGACCTAGACCCATCTGATGCAAAACTCAGAGCCTTTTCCATCACACCAGGCGGCTCTCTGGATTGGGAAACCAGAGGGGTTGCTGCAATAGGGCAGGAGGGGAGGGTGAGATAGGCCCGGATCAATCAAATTGGGCAACTATGAGCAGCAAACCTGAGGTGAAGGTCCAGGAATGGAGACCTCGCAGGGCCCTGAAGGTGAAAAGGGTGTGGAGACTTGGACTCTGCCTAAAGAGCTGTTGTGATTCTGCACAAGCTCCTTTACCTCTCATAAACCTTGTCTCCTGCAAGCCAAGCTTGGGGCCACTGCGAGCGAGGTTCCTCCTTGGCATCAAGTCCCAGGATCAGGGTTCTGCCCAGACATCTGCCCCCCCAAACTTCTGCCCCTGTGCTGCGCTGTGCTGTGGCCACTTCCTCATCCAGGGCTCTGCTACCCAGGAGTGGTTGCCAGGTGTGCCAAGGCCCTCTGAGAATTCCCTCACTCCCCCTCCCCATCCAAGAGCCAGGGCTGATGCAATCTGCCTGCAACTGCCACCTCACTCCCGGGGCCAGGCCCCTCCGCACTGAAAAAAGTCCCCAGCAGCCCCACCCCACCGAGTCTTGGTTGGCCACCAGCCTGGGTCTGGAATGGCCACTTGCAAGGGCTCAGGGTGTCAGGACCTGGTGTGGCAGGCAACCATCATTATTGGCCACCAAACACCAGAACACCCTGAGAAGGGCTGAGCGGCTGTGTGTGAACTGGCGCACAATGGAGTCAAGCTGCTTAGGTGGGGCAGGGCTGAAGTGGGTAGGATCCAAGAGTCAGAGAGAGCAGGGACGGGCCAGGACAGAGGCACTGCAGTCCCTCAATGATGTCTTCCCAGGCAGCACGTGCCACATACAGCCAGCAACAGGATGCTCCTACTAAGCCAATTCATGTCTAGCTGTTAAAAAATACTCTACCTCTCAAAACACTCAATTCCGGCCTGAAACAAAACCAAATTAAAGCACATGCCATAAAACACTCAGCCAACATTCTTCAAAACTGTCAAGGTCACAAAAGACAAAGGAAGTGGGAAGTGCCAACCATCAGAAGAGGGTAAGGAAATGCGATGCCTGAAGAGAATGTGGTGCCCTGGAACAGAAAGAAATAGGGCACTACCAGTGGAATCAGAGTAGAGCCTGGTGTTCAGACAACACAACGCACTGATGTCGGTTCCCTCACGGTGACAAACGTATCGTATGTTATAGTGACCAAGATGTTAACAGGGAAAACTGGGCGAAGGGCATAAAGAAGTTATCTGCACTTCTGTGTGTGTGTGTCTGTGTGGGGGTACGGGGGATTGAACCCAAGCAATAATGAGCCACATTTCACTCAGCTCTTTAAAATAATTTAGAATTTATTTTTATTTTATTTTTTGGTACCAGGGATTGAACTCAGGTCCTTGCGCTTGCGAGGCATGCAGTGGAACCACTGAGCTAAATCCCCAGCCCTATTTTTATTTTGAGACAGGGTCTTGCTAAGTTGTCCAGGCTAGGCCCAAACTTGAGACCCTCCTGCCTCAGCCCCCCAGAATGCTGGGATTACAGGTGTGCACTACCACACCTGGGGATCTGTGCATTATTTATGCAACTTTTCTGAAAATCTGAATTTCTTTCTTTTCTTTTCTTTTAGTACCAGGGATCGAACTCGGAACCTTGTGCTGTCAGGCAGGCGGCAGCACCACAGAACTAAATCCCAGGCCCTGAAATTATTTCAAAATAAAAGTTTATTTAAAAAAAAAAAATCTATGGCTGGGTGTGGTGGTGCACATCTATAATCTCACCACTGGGAGGCTGAAGCAGGAGTATTGCTGTGAGTTTTAGGCCAGCCGCAATTATACAGCATGACTCTGTCTCAAAAACCCAAAAATAAACATGATATCCATGGGTTGAGGTGTAGTTCAGGACAGATGTCTTACCTAACCTGCTCAAGGCCCTGTGTTCAATACCCAGCACAAAACATAAAAACGCCTAAACCAAGTGTGGCTGTGTCAGGAGGATCACTTCAGTCCAGTTTCAGACAGCGAGATCCGGTCTCAAAACAAAGGAAATAACCTAGTCCTCGGGATAACCTTAAAGGTCCCTCAGAAGACCTCCAGCAGTGTTTCCACAGCCTAGTCCCAATGCCACCTGATACACTGCTCAGTATCTACGCTGGGAAGTGGAAAAAGTTAGTCCTCAAGCCTCCTTTGGAAGGTTTTTGGGCACTTATCCTATAACCAGAGATAGAGCACATCCACCTCAGTAACAGCAGTGGAAACAGACCTTTATATGCAGCACCTACTGTGTGCCAGCCACTAGTCTACATGTCTGACATGGATTAACCCATTTAGTCCTCAAACAGTTCTAAGGGGTAGCTTACAGTGAAAGCTACTTTTTGCCACAGAGGAAACCAAAGCACAGGAAAGTAAAGGAGAACGCCAGGGCCACAAGCAAGGTGCAGTCAGGGCTTGGACCCAAATAAATACTCTGGGATCCAGAATCTGTGCTCTTAACCTCTACTGTATATATTACCTAGGTTTTAACACAGCCCCTGTGCAGCCAAGGAGATAAAGGACAATCGCTCAGACACTGGTAGGATTAAACAGTGAGTCCCCTGAGGGAAGAGGGTCGGATCCTAAGGACTCCAGCATGCAACTGGGACATGGGGATGAAGCCTGTGTGTAACTCTTGTGGTTCACCCATCCTTCTCCGGGTCTTGTTCAGTCTCTTAATTGCCCTAGAAAGAAGGCTGAGGGTCAAGGATTTAGCTCAGTGGCACAGCACCTGCCTTCCAAGTGCAGGTGGGCTGTCCTGATGTGGATGGATGAAGGGATAGGGTTTCTGTAACAGAGGAAAGACACGCGCTAGTGTGGGTGACAGAAGGCATAGGAGGGGCAGGATGGCTACCATGCACTTTTACTAAATGAAATACATCTCTCTTTTTTCGGCAATGTTGGATGCCAATTCCTACCTAGTAGTAGGGAGCAGCTGAGACTAAGGACTGAAAGGAAATCAGAGCAATGCACAGGGGCTGTAGAAAAGGCTGTATCCTTGGGGACAACGGAGGGGGGCAATGGGGTGCCTGGAAACTGAAACCTTGGAGGGCTGCAAGGGTTAAGTGTCTGGGGCTCTTTCAGGGTGTGGGGAGGATGATGGGCTCCAGGCTTCCTATTAATGCACTAAATAGCTCACCTTTGTGCTTAAGAGCTCTGGGGACACTGTCTAGTTTGATTTTCATAAATTACTACACCATGCAGAGTTGATTTTTCTCACTTACAGAAAGGGAAATGAGGCCTGAACAGTTATTTGTCTAAGGCCGCCCTGACAGTTTTAAGACCTAAATCCAGAGCGGCCTGTGACTCCAGTAAGACTCTAACTCAGGAGAGTTCTCAGGGTGGGACGGCGGTCGGGGGATGAAATGAAAGAAGAGAGAACTGGTGCGGGTCAGGGGAGAGGACGGAGTCGATCTCTAAAACCAGGCGGCGGCCTGGCCCTCGGGGTCATACAAGGCAAAGGTCTAGGGTCGGACGGTGCTGGAGGCCGGTGCCCAGGTCTACGGGAAACCGGAAAACGCCGAGGGTTGTTACGGGGAGGGTTGCAGACACGTGGATTCCCACGAGGCCAGCGGCCAGCCCCTCCCGGCTGGGGGCACACGGGGGCGGGGCGCGGAAGGATCCAGGCGGGTCGTGCGGCACCAGCCCCGGTATATCTGTCCTCGGTCCCCGGGGCCGCCCCATTCCCCGTCCTCGCATCACGATCTTTTTCTTACACTACCGCAGCGCCGTCACCGCCTGCGCACTCCCGGCCATGGCTCTGTAGCCGCCACCCCTTTGTGCCCCCAGCAGTCTCCGCGCTCACCGCACCTTCGCTCCCGCTCCCGACTTCTTTCTTCAACCGAGGCCGCCGCCGCCTCTCCTTTCCACAGCCATGGAGTGAGTAACCGCTCGCCCCTCTCCCTCCAACCGCCTTTCCCGCCCTTTCGCAGCTCGCGGTCCTCAAGGCCCGGCTTGCGGGTGGCGAGCCGCGAGCATGGAATCACGGTCGCGCAGGCGCAGAAAAGAAAAAAGGGCCGCGGGCGCGCAGCTGAGCATGCGTATTTGGGTCGAAGGTGGGGCGAGTTTTTCCGGAGAGCTGTAGTGCGAAGCTGGTGCGTGTCGAGTTGCGCCTGCGCACTACTGCCCAACAGCGACTCGTTGCTTAATGCGCCTCAGCCCACTAAAGCTCGTATTCCGCCTGAAGGGCGGGCCTTGAGTCTCCTCACAGGCGCTTTGAGCCCCGGGCCTGAACGAAAAATGGCTGAATCCTCACATGGAGCGTGTGCTTTGATCCCCAGAAGGATGGGGGTTGTTTAGCTGTTTTCCACTTCTCCGCCTGCCCCTTCCACCCTGCTGGCTCCACAGTGCTCTGGTTCACAGCCCAGCTTCCCTCCATTTCAGGATCGTACTGGAGCGGGGACTGGTTTACATTGCCATGGCAGAAGGCAGAGCTTACAAGCAGTTTATTAAGTGGGTGCTTAACACTATGGGAGGCTGAGGCTGGAAGATCACAAATTCGATCCCAGCCTGAGCGACTGAGGGAGCCTTCCCCTCCCCCTTCTCAAGCTAATGGAAAAAGGGCTAAGGATGTAGCTCAGTGAAGGCCTAAATTGAGTCCACGGTATTTAAAAAAAAAACAAAACAAAAAAGTGGGTGGAGTCAGGACCACATCCTAGCGGAGCGTAGGGAGAGTGGGGTTTGGGGGAACCCAACGAGAGGAGGGGCGGGGCCCAGAAAGTTGCGTATTAGCTGAGGAGCGTGGTTCACTGGGGCTAGGAGGCGGGGACTCTGTATTTCTGGTTAGGGGCGGAGCTATGTGAACGGTGAGGGGTGGGGCTTGTAGGGACTGGAAATCACAGTGAAATTTAAAGAAAAGGGTGGGACCTGAAAGGGACCGGAGGTGGCGGAATTCTCCTGGGAACTGACCTGAGTCCCATCTAGGAAGGGAATTGGGGCCTAAGGGAAATATTTTAGAGAAAGTCACATGGCTGAAGGAAAATTCCCCAGGGGCTGAGTGGTTTTATGAGGGCCAATATGAGGTGGGCGGGAGGGGTTTGAGGTAATTCCCCTGGGAAAACATTGAGGTTCCATATTGGGGCTTGGGAATTCTAAAGAAAAGAATTCCCTTGGGAGTGGGTGGGGCTCTAAATTTGGGGAAAGAAAGGGAAGATTTAGGGTTCTGATTGGACTTGGCTTGGTCCCAAGCCTCGCCGGAAGGGGGAGGGGCGTGCAGGTGGTGGCCGGGCTGGTGGGTGAGGCCAGTGCTGATCCCACCCCACTGTCATCTCCCACACACAGGTCCTCCACCTTCGCCTCCGTGTCCGTCTCCATCCAGCTGAACAACCTCTGGAGCCTCCTCCCTGCCGTCGGTGCTGCTTCCATTGCTACTCGTGCTCAGCACCTGTGCCTCAGCCATGTCACTCCTGGCGACCCTGGGGCTCGAGCTGGACAGGGGCCTGCTCCCAGCTAGCGGGCTGGGCTGGCTTGTAGACTATGGGAAACTCCCCCTGGCCCCTGCCCCCCTGGCCCCCTATGAAGTCCTTGGGGGAGCCCTGGAGGGCGGGCTCCCAGGGGGAGGAGAGCCCCTGGCAGGTAAGGGCCAGTAGGGTGAGCCGAGGTTGGAAGGCAAGGGAACAAGGGACACAAGAACCCATTCATTTAATCATTCAGTTGATACAGTCAGGGAGTGCCCACTCAGTGTGGCAAGCACTGTCCTGGTGCTGGCGTACAGCTGGGAATTGGTGACATTACATCCTCCTGGGCCGACGGGCAAGCGGCAAAGGTGATATATTGAGATAAATGTGGGATAGTGGCAGACACACAGCAGCTGAGCCAAGGCGCAAAGGGAGCCAGTTTAGCTAGGTAGGAAACCCTTTCCAAGTAGGTGACATGGACTGCAGAGTAGAACAGCAGAAGAAAAGACCCAAAGGAAGCGCATGTCAGGGGGAGGCATCACATAAGCGGATTCAGAGGCAGACATCTATTCATGACTACACCCCAGATACTTGACACAGTGTTGTTAGTAACTAATGACTATCTGGGCATGGTGATTCACGCCTGTAGTCCTAGCTGCTCAGGAGGATGGGGTCATCCTGGGCAACATAGAGAGACCCTGTCAAAAAAATAGAGATAAACCAAGGTGCGAGTGCCTGTGTGCGAGTGAGGTGATCTTGTTTGCTTTTTATGAATAAATTACTAGGTGGGCCAGAGATTTAGTTCAGTGGCACTGCGCCTACCTGGCAAGCAAAAGGTCCTGGGTTCGATCCCTGGTACCCAAAAGTTATATATATATATATTAGGAGTGAGGAGCCGTGGCACGTGCCTATAGTCTCAGCTCTCTGGGAAACTGAGGTAGGATTGCAACTTCTGTCACAGCCTGGGCAACTTGGTGACATAGCAAGACCCTGTCTTAAAATAAAAAGTTTAAAGGGGTGGGGCTCAGTGAAATGGCTCTGGGTTCAATCCCCAATATTGCCAAGTAACCAAACCAAAGTACGCAAAACAACAAACCAGAAGAGGACTAGAGTAAGTCAGAGAGCCAGGCCAGGTGGCCCAGGCCGGTAATTCCTGCACTCTGGGAAGCTGAGGCAGAAGAATCACAAATTCGAACCCACACTAGGCAACTTAGTCTTAGCAAGACCCTGACTTAAAAGATTTAAATAAAAAGGGCTGAAGATGTAGCTCTGCGGGAAGGCCCGGAGTTCATTCCCTAGTGTGGAGTCGGGATGAGAGAGCAGGAAAAGTCAGAGACCACAGGATACTGGTAAAACTGTTGAGGGCTTGACTGGTTAGTTAGTCTACTGGTAGTCAGCTGGCTGGTTGCTCCACGGACTGAGACCCAGAGTGCTACAGGACGCTTTGTGTCCCCCCTCCGATCCCCAGGTGATGGCTTCTCGGACTGGATGACAGAGCGAGTTGACTTCACGGCCCTCCTCCCTCTGGAGCCCCCGCTGCCCCCAGGCACCCTCCCCCCA